CACTGTTCATATCAGGCAGCTCTTTGCAAGACTGGTTTACTATGTATACACACCTGCAGTACCGTCTAGATTAGGCATGCCCCGATAATGCCGGGGGTTGAGCTTAGGTGCATAATGCTAGGCACTGAGGCCATGCAAAACACAGGCCCAGAGCCCTGAGAAACGCCCGATGGCTGACAAGTTTAAGGACAGCAGCAGCAAGGACAGTGTCTAGCCCTGGGTCAAGTTTCATACCCTGGCCAGCACCTCTTGCTTTCTAGCTCTGTCCTTTATCTATAGCGCTCTTCAGGCCTGGTTAAAATGAGCATAGTCACGCTTTCAGCGGTCCAATAGGCTGCATTCACAAACTGAATGATACATTATTTCAGAACATCTTTAATGTACACCTACTCAAGCTTTTCAACCTCTGACTCTGTCAGTGGATAGGGGTTATGCTTTCTGTGCAGTGGCTACCATGGTATGAATGCTTGCCCCACTATATGCAGAAACTGAATCCTCAGTGTGATGGTTTTTAGAGGTGGAGACTCTGGTAGGTGATTAAATTTTGGGGGCAGAGCTCTGGAGGGGATTGGTGCCTTCCCTAGTGAAAAAGGCCCCAGAGAGCTAGTTTTCCTCACTGTAATAGTTTAGATCTAGAGCTCCTTGGCTGTTCTCAAGTGAGCCTGCCTAGTAGTGGTCCCTAGTGGGTCACCGAGCACATGGAAGGCTATCTTCTTGTCCCAGCTTCCTCCCTTCTCTCTGCTTCCTGGCTGCCATCCAATGAGCAGCTTTTCCCTGCAAGACCCTTCCAGTACGCCATGTCTGCCTTGGTGCCAGCCAACCATGGGCTGAAAACTGTGAGCCAAAATAAACCTCTCCTACTGTCATCAGTGGTGTAGGTATTGTGTCCAGGAAAATGACAGACACCTGCTATGCTATGTGAAAACTCTGATCCAGTAAACAGGTACTCAACAGATGCTAGATCTAATGGCACCATGATGTTGGACTGTGCAGCCTCCAAAACTGAGAATACAAAGGATCGGGTAGTTTATTAAGAACAGCTGTTCATTTCCATGATAGCAGTCTGAGCTGCCCAAGGCAATAATGGCACATGGATTCATTTGTCCCACAAAATAATAAAAGGTGCATCATCTGACTTGTATTTATATGTCAAAAGAACATAACTACGGCTTATATTTTTCTAGAGATGTCAAATAGGATAGAGAAGTAAAATCAGCTTAAAAATAGAAAAACCTGAAAAAGATATAACCATTATAGAAACCACAGAAGTATTTGAGACTTTCCAGCCTCAACTCCCCTTATGCCCCGGCTGTGTTTCTCCTTCTCTGCTAGACCCCACCCAGGATGTTTCACTGGTGGGACAAGTGGCTTTCTGCTGTAAGGAGCGCTGATTGCTATTCTCTGAAACAATTTGCTTAAGACAGGAAGGGAGTGACAGTGGCCCACCTGAGTCTATGGATGTAGTATAATCTTAATAGTAAAAAGCACAGTACTTACAGAGGAAGTTACAGGCCAATATCACCTACAAAAATATCACTTATATGCTGATTAAATCTGATGTATGTATAGAGATATAATGTATATATCTATATGTATATATAGATATGTGCATATATATGTATAGATATAATGTATATAGAGATATATACATATAGATAGATATAATGTATATAGAGATATATAATGTATACATAGATATATGACAAAATAGGGTTTGTTCTGGGTTTGTCATGTTCATCAACGTGAGAAAATCTATTGAAGTAGCACACAATACTGTGATTTCAAAGGAGAAAAGTAAACTGAGTCATGTAAATTTAATAAATATAGCTATGAAAAATTAAAGCAATTACTGAGTGGAAGAGAATTACCTTAAACTGAATATCTTCCAAAAATCTACAACATGTAGCATGTTTTTTGAAATGGTGAAACTTAACTTTTTCTCTTTCAACAATGTCTTTTGTCTACATAGAAAACACAAGGCACCCACTGTTTCCCTTAATTTCACATTACACCGGTTATAAGTTTCTGTAAACTGTTGAGGGAGTGACAGGGCCATTCCTGCTGGAGCTGTTTACATTCTGATGCCTAGGAAGTTATCTGATTAACACACTGAATTTGCATTTGGCAATTTTGCTTAAACTTCTCATTTGCAAATGGACATGATGACTTTTTCCTTTTTCATGGCTATTATAATTGCAAATGAGCCATTTTCCTCAAAATGAAGGGAATAAATTATAAAATGTTATTGGTCTAGTTGAACTTTTATTACTTTTCAAGCAAATTATCAGACTCAATGGGGATAGCATGTTCCCACTTATGCCAATTTTCCTCATAAATTTTCCTTTAAAATTTCAATGCTTTTCTGATCAAAATTTCAACGTCTGACCAGATTTTAAAATGTATGTGGAACAAGGACCAAGAATAGCCAAGAACACCACTGTGGTTTGGCATTGTCTGTGGGAAGTCTCTTCTTTGGTTACACACCTGTGTCAATAGGAAACCTCTGTTTAGAACTGGCTTTGAAGAAGACCCACAGCACAGCATCATGCAGCCACAAAGAAATCCAACCACAGTCTTGCAAATAAGAAACCTGGAAAAGGAGGCTGTGCTACACAGAGGGGAAGAAGCCTGCACTCTTCCACAGTGAGTGTTGGATAAGAAGGTAAATCATCTATGTGGACTCGTCAGAATATTCACATGGATTTTTTTCATCTAGAAAAACATATCTAGACCCAGATGCATTTGAAAATGATTTCTCTAAGCTTAACAGTGACGGCTTGTAAGTTGTTAACGTGTTCTCTGTTGTGTGGAAATGTTTTTTTTATATTATCAAATTTAACAGGAGGGACTTTTAAATTTCAAACTAGAGAAGGATCTATAAAATAAAATATAAAAGGCAAGAAAGGGAAATTTATTTTCTTCAAAAATTTGAAATGAATATTTTTTAGTAGCAAAATAGACAAAAGGATATTCGCAGAAACCTCAAATGTCCAATAAACATTTGCAAAAGTGTAATATTTCGTCGGAAGTCAGAGATATGCAAATGGGCACAATATAGCACTTGTTCATGTTGGGTACGGCCAACTGCTGTGGTGTCTTCACCAATTCTTACCAGATTGTTAACATGTCACAGCTGTCACACTGGAAAGTTGCCCTCCACATGGCCTCTTACACCCCTCTAATACATCCACTATCACCCAGTGTGCCTGACACCACAGTGCCGACCACTGTTCTTTTCCTCCTGTGCAGATTTGTGATGGTGCTGCATAGCCCCATTGGGAGATCAAGATTATCGGTGTAAGTTCTGTGTATTTTCCAGCTGTGAGTTCCTCTCCTCTTGCTCCTCTCCTGTCTCAGTGATGGAGTCACACCAGTGGCCGTAGCTACAGGCAGGGACGCTCCCTGAGCCTGGATCCCTGAGACACACTGTGGGGAGCTGAATCCCTTGTCGACCCAGGTGCATGTGTATGAATGAAAATCAAAATTTGTTTAGTTGACCCAACTGGGATGGGAAAACAATCTCAAAAATCACCAAGCATACTTTCAAGGATGCAGACCTAGAAACAGAACTGCCAGACATGAATACTGAATCTGGCATAGCACTGGTATTCCGAAAATGTGTCAGTGAAGGCTAATGCGTCTAAATGAAGTCTTAGATACGATCCAATGCTTCCCATCAAGCTTGGGTACTAGTATTTGCAGTACTGCAAGTTTTCCCTCCTCCTCCTGCACCATTCAGCATGGAAGCCACTAGACATGTGGGTGGACACTTGACATGTGACCAGTGACTGAGCAAACAAATGTTTAGGTATATTTAAAACCCGAAAGTGGTATCTTTCCATCACTTAACAGCAGGATTGCTCTTAACTGAAAATTTAACATCAAAATTGTAATGTGTACTGTAAGAGTAAAATACACGCCAGATTTTAAAATTCTAAACAAGTGTGCACATCTCAGTAAATAAGCCGACTGAAAATACTTTAAATGTATTTGGTTAAATCAATCATAGTGCGCTGCACTTTTTTTTCTGGTATCTTTCCATCACTTAACAGCAGGATTGCTCTTAACTGAAAATTTAACATCAAAATTGTAATGTGTACTGTAAGAGTAAAATACACGCCAGATTTTAAAATTCTAAACAAGTGTGCACATCTCAGTAAATAAGCCGACTGAAAATACTTTAAATGTATTTGGTTAAATCAATCATAGTGCGCTGCACTTTTTTTTCTTTTTTTTTTTTTTTTACACATATTTCTGTTGCACAGCACTGGTCCAAGTTCTTTTGACCAATTGTCTGGTGGTTGCTGGAACCTTAAGGCAATGGACTCTACACATTGCAAAGCACAGATTTCCCTAGTAATATAGTAATGTCACTTCCTAGCCTTGTGGCTTTTAAGTCCATTTCTACTTACCCCTACTCACTACCCTCAGCTCCTCATAGTCCGTACTTAAAATAAGTTCCTCTTCACACTAGCACTGCCTTATTCAGTCTCTATTCTAAATAACCACTGGCAAAGGTGACAACATAGACGAATCCTGTAGGATAGAGAGATGACGGCTCATTTCAACTCATGTAATAAATCCTCATACATCCCTCCCATATGCGAAATCAAGCACAAAGGATGAGGTCAACAGTATGACCATACTCTCACTGTCCAGGGGGCTGACTGCTTTGGAGTCCCCCACCCTCAAGAGGCTAGACGTGGATGGTAGGTGAAATGCCCACATTCATTCTCTGCGGAGGGCAATGGGTGTTGGAAAATCTCCACTCTTGTATAAATCAGCATCTCTTGTGAACTTGCATCAAAGGCAAGAGCAGCCCAGCCTATCCGTTTATGCATGATTAACCGGCCAGAACTGCCTATAACTCAAAAGTTTTCCATGGAAGAATTCAGAACACCTGTGTCACGCAGAAGCACACCTTCATGCGCTTCAGAAACGTATCACACAAGGTAGGCTGTGCAATAAATAGCCACCTTGCTTAACTACTAAAATGAAAGGGCAGAAAAAATCTTGCAGTTACTTTTATTTAACAAAATTTACTCCAACTTCTATATCTATATCCAAACGTGTTTCAAAACCAGAGCAGCAGACGCAGACTGTTAACACAGGAATTATAATAATGCTTAACATGTTATACAAAGTTTTGTTTTCTGCTCATATAGACATTCACAGATTCAAAAGTTTTTCTAAAGGCTGAGCAGCATCACATCTTCATTTCCTGGGATGGCTTATAAGAAAAAGTCCTAAAGAGAGGGGGCTGGAGCTTCTGAGGGTTAATTGTTAAGTTTAGTTCCAACAGGGCCTGGCCCATAGGAGGGGCTCACAAAGTGTTTTGGACTGGGGATAACATTTTGAATAAAATAGAATCTACTGAGTACACTTAGTTTTACTTGCCTATCATAAATATAACAAGGTCATCTCATTTCTGGCCCCCAATAGTAAAGCCTAATTTTAAAAATAAGTTTAAAATAAATGTTATTAGTACTACTAACAAGTAGTGACCAGAGATCCTTCAAAATTAAGGTCAGAGTACACAAGTACTCAACAGAGTTCTGCCCCTACTCCCTCCAATTTTGTTAGAAATGTGTTTGCTTCATGACATTACCTACACGTTAACAAGCTACTTTCTAAAGCTCTGTATCTGGGGACATATCCACTTCTGCTTTCCCACTTTTAAGACTCCGAGAATACCTTTTAACTGCTTAAAAAGTATTACAGTTCTGACAATCCCCAAAAGCTTTGCTACATATTCTACTCACAAAATTCAATTCCACGTAAGTACTCAAAAATGTGTTTTAGGTAATACTTGAACAACAGCTGATACTGTGAACTGTAAATATTTCAAGCTGATGCTAAATACTCTGACAGGGCCAGCTCTCAGCCCAGCCATTCAAGAAAAAGCTGCTAAGTGGTGAGGTATAGGAGAATAAAACAAAAGTCACAGGCTTTTCTTCTTTTTCTCTCCGTATCTTAGATCTCTTTCATGCAGGAGGGTACAAGTCTGCAACACAGATAAAACTTCAGAACGCTCTGCCATGTAGTGAAGTGGTACAACACCTAACAGCCACAAAGCACCAAATAAAACTGCACAAAAACTGAATGCATAATAAAATGATCCACGGGGGGTTTCTACTCCTGTTTGTTCATAAAAATGAAACCCCATCACTTACTGTGCTTTCATTATCTAAAAATGAGATCAAACCATTATAAAAATGTACTTCCAAAATAAATTATTTCTGGAATATAAAAATGTTGTACATTTTTCCCAGCCCACATATTATAAAATAGGAAACCAGAAAATTAGCTATTGCAATTCTCATGTGGTAAAAATACTTATATGTGTACACACACATATATAAAAATGTAAGTTTTAAATTTTAATAAAATCAAGCAACTTAACGATCTTATACTGAAGAAATTTGAGTATTTGTGATGAGAACAAACTTTATTTAAAGGACTATAATCCCACCCATCAGACGATAATCTATGACTTTCACAAAAAACAAAACAGAAAGAACAAGTCTCCAACTAATTGCCAAGCCAGCTAGAAAGCACTGGTGTCCTTTCAGATGTCACAGTCCCTGTACCACTGTTATCAGTAAGTACCCTAAGGAAGGGCAGAAGGCCTGGGGAAGCTGCCCTGTGACTCAGCCATCTGTACTGCTGCCTGAAGGTCAGTGCCCAGCTGCCTGGGCCAGTGAAGGCTAAAAGTCAGGTCTGAGCTCTCTGCCAAGCCGCCCACCTGCCCACGTACACACAGGTGCCTTACAGGTCCTAAGAGTCCTGTTGGCTGTGGGTGGAGAAGACAGGGAAGACCTCAGGAAAGATGAGCACTAGGGAGGTGTGGCTGATTAAGCTATATTACCAGCAAGCCAGTATTGGCATTGAAAACCAGGGATCATGTTTGCTACGATTTCGCAAAGACAGTAGGGGATTTCTATCTATTATGTTGATTTCTCCCCCAAGCCTCAAAGGCAAAGAAGGAAAGGGTGGAGAAGAGATAGGAAAGCTGTCCTAGTCCACAGCAGCACCTGTTCAGAAAACAGGAGGGGCTGGCCCAGGGACCAGCATTTGGGATCCCCAGCGATGCAGACAAGCAGCATCCCATTTTTTAACGAGTCCCTACGTGAAAACCAAGTCCTGTTACTCTTCTCGTAGCCTGCTTTACAAGTCTACCTTTAGCTAAGTCTTCCTAAGGGTTTATGTTGTATAAAACCTCTTCCTTTACATTTTAAACTGGCCGTTTAATTTATGCTGTGGGATCATTACAAGCAAAGAGACTTTCTTTTCGTTATTTTCCCTCTGTAACTTTTTTTTTAAAGGCACATTCCCTACCCAACTGTCACAAGTCAAGATTTTTAAAAGAAAGCAAAACCAAAATACTTGAATTAAACACAAACACACACACACACACACATGTAGTAAATGCAGGGAAATCCTTGGAATCATTCATTCCTTTAAACACCCAACTAAAGGAGAACTCAGTGCTACATAGAAGATGAGTATCACAGAATGGGGAGGGATTTGAAAGAATGGCCATTTTTTTCTATAACCACATTTAAGATAACTAATGATGTAGAAAATGTAATTTCTCCTATGTAACAAATATTCCGGAGAGGAGCTAAAGCAAAAACAAAGTGTATGTGCACACCAAAACGTAGGCTTCATTCTTCAGTAGCATTTATAGGGGCATACGTAAAGCACTCTAAACTTGCCCCTCTGCAGGGATGACCAAAGTTCGTATCTACTCAGAAATGGGGGCACTAAACAGAGAGGTCTTCAATCTCACTGAAAATCTGCTGGGAATACAACACCCTTTCTCTAGAGAACTGCATCCACTTGTGTGGACAATTCCAGGGGCTTCTAATACCTCCTAAGGTCCATTCCTACAGGGGCTCTGAAGAATGAACAATCCTCATTCCTCTAGTCTGGGATTCTCCTATTGAATCTGGGAGGGGAGAACCTCAAATCAAATGAAAAACAACTTGCTTCAAATGCCAAATTTTACTCATTTGCCCTTGGAAGAAAGAATATCCCAATCTCGAGTTGCCTCTATCAAATGCCGCTGGCCGTGACTCATCCATTCTTCCTGGTCTTCATATAACCGCCCACAAAACCAGCACTTAAATATGCATTGTGATGAGTCATCCGGTAAGGAATCCACCACCTGGTAGTTGTTTTTATGAACTTTTTTCAGTTTCATCTTCAACATCATTTGCCTCTTCATCTGGCTAGCTTCCTCCATGTTCTGGTAGGTGAGTCGTAGGTGATGCCGGCGAATGCCCAGCTGACACCTAGTCCTCTCGGATAAAACCACTTTAAGGACGTTGCCTTTGTACTTGTTGATTACCTTCATCACGTTGGTTACTTCTGGTGAGTCAACATCAGGATGATTGAGCACAATGACAGGCTGGTTCCGACGGGGGCATTTAATCAGCTGGTCGGGTTTTACTGCTACCAGTCGAAGCTGTCTCGCAACCTGAAAAATGGAAGGATCCTTGAGGCAGCGGCTGGACTCAGCCTGAATCTTGCCCTTCTTCCTGGATGAGTTTACTTGCTTGGTTTTACTCCTGCTCCCAGGAAGACTTCTGGAGAGCAGCCTCCCATGTTGCCCGTGCATGGGACCCATTTTCTTAGGGGTGGTACTGCAGATGGCATCCTCTTTTCTAGGTTTCGGCCGCAGAGATGTCTCCAGATTCCAGGACATGTCTATTGGGCCACTTTCCCTCACCAAAGGCTGCAAGTCTGAGTCTGACTGTTTCACAGGACGGATCGGAACTGGTTTCGGTAAATGAGCTTCACTGCAAGGAATGGTGACAGGCGCGTCACAGGTGGCCTCTATGATGCGAGCATCCTCTGAGGAGTTGAGAACTCTTAGCACAGCCCCTTTGGGGATCAGCACCGGAGTAGCCACAGGTGCCTTTCTGGTCCCTCTGCTTTCAGTTCTCCCATCACTGATGCTGGCAAACTGTGGATAGATCTCCTTTTGTGTAAGCTGTCCATTGCCAATAAGAGCAACTTCATTCTGAGGTTTCTGGAGAGGACCCGTGGAAGGGCCAGGGCCAGTAAGTGACACATTAATTTCTTCAATACACTCGGAGGTTGCTTTTGCACTTATCTTTGATGCCTGCCCTGCAGAACGACGGTGTGCACCATTTGCAGACAAAGAGGAAGGCTTGCCACAGGACTCAATTAATTGAGCTATCTTCCTGCGCAAGAGCTCAATTGACTTTATTTTGGATGTTGAACTATTCCACTTAATACCTTCTGGCACATTTTCAGATCCGGAGCTCAAAGAAAATACTGATGAGATGACTGGGCCATCGAAAGTGTCCTTAGTCCTTTCAGAATCCTTCAATTCTATAGGCTTCTCCCCAGGTTGATGAGACTTAACTCTTTCTTCTCCAGTTATATTTATGTGTAAATACTCACTTTTATGGGGAGAGGAAATCTGACCTACATGTGAAACTGCCTTGCTTTGCTGTGTCTGGTTGCCTTCCAGCTTTCTACTAGAGGAAGCCATTTTTACAGGAAAACTAATATTACTTCTAGGTTCTAAATCATTTTCACTTAAAGGCAATACACCCTTTTCTCCAGAAAACGAAACAGCTGCAGGCCACGCAAGAGGAAATGACTGCTGAGAGTCACTGCGTGAGTTTCTTCCACCTTCAGCAAAAGCAGCAGCAGCTTTATATGGAAAAGGGTTTGATGCAGGTCCAAGACCACAGAAAACACTGTTTTTTACTACAGATGATGGAGAGTGGGCTTTTAAGGCAAGAGAAGGAAGAGCAGTTCTGTGTGCATACAAACTGTTTCTTCTCTGCAAGTCCTCAACCATATCAGAATTAAAAAAGGATTCTCTATAGTTGTGCACACTAGAGTTTGACATGAAAAAATCATAAGACTTTACCCATTTCACATTTTTAAATTGCTTCTGAACTGAAGACTGAAGACTATCAATGCCTAAAAGTTTCCCAACATTCCCTTCAATTGTTAGCGACTTTGTTTTTTCAGCACGAAGTATTTTTTCTTGTTCATATGAACTCTTCTCTTTAGTGGTATGCCCAGAATTACTTATATCACCCCTGTCAGCTTCAAGGCGATTATTTTCTTCCAGTGGAAACAATTTCAGAACAAGCTGCTGTGTGCCATTGACAACCTTCACGTCTATCAACTGGGCTAAGCAGTTTGCAGGGACAACAAGCTCTGACGGGGCCACCACTGTCAATGGCACGCCTGGCTGAACAGGTTCTTTTGAAGGGGACAACACTTCTACTTCAACACTTTTGTTCTCAAACAGACTGACCTCGTTGGGCTCAGGTAGGGTCATTTTATTTGGAATACACACTACATCTTTTTGGTGTTCTTTTGATTCAGGTAACAGCATGATGCTGTGCATTTTGTCTTTATTTGCTTGGAGAGAGAACCTTGAAAGCTGATCAGACAACTTATTTTGAAACGTAGTCCTTGGACTGGGAGCCTTTAAAAGCTCTGTGTTTTGTCTTGAGACACTGATTCTTTTTGGCTCTAGCTTGCCAACAGTCTTGAGTGGCCGTTTAGCCCCGGCCCTCTCATGGACTCTTTTCCGATGCTTCACAATGTAATCATTTCTAATAGCACCATAGTCACAATACTCACACTGATAAGGGAATATGCCCGTATGCTTCACCAAATGCCTCTGAAACTCTCCTTTTGTGTACGAAATGTAGTTGCAGTGAGAACAAATGAATTTAATCTCTTCATGTTGAAGTGTGTGCTTTTTGTACTGCAGGGGGTCTTTTGTAGAAAACCGACATTTATCACAATAATATTTGCCTGGCTTAAAGTTCCTTACCTTAAATTTGTTGACAGGACTTGAGATAGTTTCAGTATTATCTCCAACATGGGCAGCACTGGGATTATTGTTTACAAAATGAAAACGAGGAGGAGATACATGAATGCTGCATTTGAGACAGACATATTTGTCTTCCTTTTGGCTTTGTCCAGTATCTTTCTTCAAATCCTGAAGAGGGATTTTGTGAACACTTTTGCACTTCATACACGTGGCAATGGTCATCAAGGCAGCCTCTGCCTCCGAGCCTTGGTACAAGAGGGCTTGTGCTTCTTGTCTGTCTGGTCGAGTTGCTCTACTAGAATTAGGCGGTTTGGGTGACATGGTCAAGGAACTGTGTCCACCATTCATTTGTGCAGTATACAGCTGTTCTCCTATATCCTTCATTTTCTTTATCTGCATTTCTAAAAACAGCTGACTAGAATTCGGCAAGATTCACAAGCTAAATTCTTCTGAGGCATCTTTCAACACATTTTGTGACTGGTGAAAAAGCAGCTGCTGATTCCTGGTATACGCTTAGTAACCTTTTTTTGTATACTGCCACTGTAAGTGCATGATCCAAAACGTGACTGCTTTCAATTCTGTGGTAGACCAAGGATCACTATAGGAAAACAAAATTATAAAGCATAATTACTAGAAGAATATAAGGATTAGCAAACTTAATACCAAAGTTATCCTGTATTTTAATGCCCTTAAGAATTCTATGCTAAATCTCAAACTGTGATCTTACATGAGTTATAATAACACAACATAATTTGCAATCCAGCTAAACTGAAAATTTTCAAATTGAGCGCCCTAAAAGTCACCACTGTAGACAGCCATGAACACAAACATGCTGGAGAAGGTATCACAACGGTTGTGTAGTGCAGCCTTTGGCCAGTGCTGGTGAGCACAGCCTAGTGAGTGTGCAAGTGTAATTTCACATTAGCCTCACAAAGCACGGCACAGGACACCATCAGTTTTGGGTTCTAATGTGTTAAGTCACCTGGGGAAGTATTCATATTTGCTTCCAGGTTACAGCTTAAGCTCAACTTAGGTGCCACCTCTTACACACTCAAATCTACCGTCACAGGTGGCAAGAAGCCAGTAAGACTGACAATATTAGGAAGGCACACATGGTGACTCCTGCAGCATCTTACTGAGCATCTTTCAAGTGCCGGACATTACCCAATGGGCTATACAAGAGTGAACAAAAGCAAATCAGTCCCTATACTCACAATCCAGAGACCGCAGCACTGCCAAGCAGTGGTTAAGATAACTGGAAAAGAAATACCATAAAGTCAGGCAAGGACTGTGATGGTGTACATGAGTGTGTGCAGAGGACCAGCATGCAGCGCAGGTGAGGAGAGCTGGGAAAACTGTCAAACTAGGTAAGTGATACCCGAGCAGAGATGTAGGGGCAACCAAGAAGTGATCTCTGTGGGTGTCTGGGAAAAGGGAGTTTCAAGTAAAGTGGCAGCAGGGGGAAATAAGCCTGATGCACTTGGGAATGGGGGAGAGAAGGCTACAGACGCAGTGAGAGGGAATGGGGAGACCAGGGAAGGACTGATCTATAACAATGGTGGTAAGCCTATGGTACACATGCTGCAGCCGGCTGTCTGTTATCACTGAACGATCTAAAAGGTTTGCCATTGGTGCTCTGCACCACTGTGGCACAGCAATGTGGCTTTTCCTCAACACAACACAGAAAAGCAGGTGAGAGACTGAAGCAGTGGCAGAGTATGACCTGACTGATATTCCAACAATCTTGAGCTGCTGTGAGAACGAGAGTCTGAAACAACCATGAATGGCTGGACTGAGGCAGCCATGACAAATGTTTTCTATAGCATGAAAGTCAGTTCTCTGGTAGGCACATGTGTCACACAGTGGCCAATTTTTACATAATATTTAAGGAGACTTTCTTTTCAGACCATATAGAGTTAAGAGCCAAACTAAAACCATGCCAGTTTGAGACTGGCTACAAGCCTTTTACTAAGACCTGCTGATTCTTTTCAATGTCAGTTTTTTCATATGGCAATTAAAATTAACTGTGGACACTTCTCCAAATCCTCCCACAGCTGCTTCAATGAGAACTACGATGCTCAAGAGTGTAAGAGAGCCCCTGGGAGTTGAAAGTCTATCTCTAAGCATCAAGGGGCACAGAGGCACGCAGTGAGTCTGCTCGAGGCTGGGCATAGACAGAGCTGTGGCTAAGGACACAAAGCTGGTCTGAAGGGGCTCTCTGCAGGCTCAGAATAACTGCTGCTTACTCAGATGTGGCCTGAAACTTGCCCTTTATAAGTAGCTTTGGAAAGTACTAAATGGTATTTCACATTGATCACAACATTCTTCTGTCATGTTCTCTTTTCCAATTCTGCTCTAATGACAGACAGTTACTTTCTTTCAAGAGCAATTTCCAGCATGCAGCTCTGCCCTGATGACATCTAGGGATTCAGTCACGAGATGCTGGGCCACACACGACACTCTGGCATCCAGGGGACAGAGCCCTGGGGGCTTTGAGGTGCTGTCTGTCCTCTCCATGTCCCTTCTAACACATACTTATGCTTCAGGACCCTGATTATGGACAGGACACATGAATGTCCTCAACTGGCAACAGACGGACACTGGCAATGACAAGGACTTTCTATTCCACCGCACTCCTGCTGCAATACCAGGGAGGCCTTTCAGAAGTCAATGGAAGACGCTGTCACACACTTTTATTTTGCACTGGCTCTACAGAAGACAGAGGTGACAGCCGGAACTTATGCTAGTCTTGAAGTGACCTCAAGCAAACCACCCATTGGTATCGGCTCTGTCATCTATAAAATGCAGGGTTGGACCACAGGATTTCTAAGTCTCACATGTGTTGCTGATCGCACGAAAGCTGACTTTGTCATCTCAGCACACTCCTCTCATCCACATGCTCACGCTGGAGTTCTCATCTAAACCAAGGAAGTCAGAGCTGCAGTGGGAGCCCGAGAAAGCCACAGGCCCAAAACACAAATGCAGAGGCTTCCCCAGTGATAAGGAATTCAGTCCAGGGGTTTGCAATCCGCAGGGGCCTCAAGCTTGGCCTAAAACACACATTCCTGGGCTGCATCCCAGAGCTGGTGAATCCAAGTCCACCAGGAGAGGGGAGGAGAGGGACACCTTAAATGTGTCCAATGAAGACCCAGATTTGAAATCACTACAGCTTCCAGCCACATTTAAATCCTTAAAAATCTCCACCAACTGACCACACAGTTGGTGCTCTATCAATACCAAACTGCCTTCTTTTGACAGCAAATTTTACTTTCAAGTAATTTTCATGGTCAACAAATCATCCTTCAATGAAACTGAAATCAGCTTCCCTATAACTTTCTTCCACCCTGATTCTAGAGCTGCAAAAAACAACTTACTCACTCTCAATAAGTCAATTATTAATCTGCATATCTCTTCTATCCTACAGCCTTTGGTTCTCACTTCTGTTCCAATGCTTTGCATACCGAACAATATGTAAATCTAAGCTCTTATCTACCAGCTTTAAACTGACAGAAAAAAAATTTACTTACTTGCCCCAGTACAACTTGCTCACCAACTGTTTCAACCTAACACTTTATATGTACATTAATTTTAAGTAATTATCAAAAACAGCAAGAAATATGTGACAAGATTCCTCTATCTTATCTAAACCAGGATTCCACTTGCACATTTTCAGTTTTTCAGCCTCCAACATTCTTCAAACATCAGGGAGAGCAGTTTTGCCATTTTCTCTAGTCCTTGCAGAACTGGGAGGTGTCTTTCCTTCTAAAAGTCAAAATGGACTGGATGGCAAGATTATGACCATCCAAGAGAACAGAAGAGCATCTTGAAAGACAAAAATCTTCAGAGAATCAGGCTAGCTTGAGTGCCTAAGGAACACACTGACCTCTTAGCAATACCTCTTAAACAACTATCTAAGCACAGATATTCCTCCACTTACAATGGAGTTACAGCCTAACAAACCAAACAAAAATTGCAAATGGTGTAAGTAAAAAATGCATTTAATATACCTACCCTGTTTCACAGCATAGCTTAGCCTCCCTTAGCTTCCCTGAAGATGCTCAGAACATGTACACATAAGCCTCCAGTTGAGAAAATAATCTAGCACAGAGCCTGTTTCACAATAATGGGAATATCTCATGTGACTTACTGAATACAGCAGGCTGTAGAGTGCAGTATTGTTGTTTACACTCAAGACTATGTTGCTAAAAGGGAGCTATGGCTCACTGCCCCATAACACAACAAAGTACTGTACTGCTTATTACTACGCTGGGAAAATATGGAAATTAAATTACAGTTTCTACTGAATGCATACTGCTTTTGCACAATTGTAAAGACACAAAATCTTAAGTGGAGTCATAGTAAGTCAAGGACCATATGTAATATGCATCTTGACTTACGAACTCACTGGAACAAGTGCCAATATGAAGCAGGAGGCTGTGCTGAGCAGTGACAAAATATTCTTGAACTTCCAACTACTGTCAAAATAATTACATGTTGCTACACTGCTATTTCCCAGAGTCTTGGTGGAAAACATGTGAGGTTTCTTCAAAACAAGCAAAGTTCTCTTCAGCCTTCACAACTTGCGGCTATCTGTGGGAGGCGGGAAAACAGTCCAGTCACACTGCCCCAAGACAAAGGTAAATGGAAGCGGTGGCACGGACAAATGAGGAGAGGTGTGATACTGGTATTTGGACATGAACACGACCGAGCACACCTGCGCGTGTGAAAGAGGGCCGGGCCCCGTACCCTGCATAGGACAGCCTCCCTCCGGTTGAAAACAAGTCAACCACCTGTGAAGCTGAGTACTCTGGCAAGTTACTGCTCAGTGGGCTGACAACCAAAGACCAGGAAGACAGGGCCAATACAGAGTTGTGCACGGTGCACTTAATGCTGAGGGCATGCAGAAAACGACCATTAACTTCAGTGTCAGAGTTCACCTACATGTGAACATCCAGTAGTTAACAGAAGCCTCTGCATGGGACTCCCTAGGACAAGGAGCACATTCTTAGAAGGCCTAAGTGAAGTCTTGCTAACCTCACAGCACAGGAGGATGTCCACTCAACACTGAGCTGTCTGTCTTCCATACATAACATAGCAGCATTACAGTGAACTTCCCCGGGCCCCACTGTGGTATGATTCTTTTAATTCTTTTGGGAAGATACCCAGAAGGGGAATAGCTGGGACTTCCAATCCTAGTTGTTTAAGGTATCTCCATATTGATTTCCACAGTGGTTGTACCAGTCTGCATTACTACCACGAAGCGAGTGAGAATAGCCTTTTTTGGGGGGGCGGTACCAGGAATCGAACTTGGGACCTTGCACTTGCAAGGCAGGCAGCGGAACCACTAAGCAAAATCCCCAGCACATGAGCTTTTTAATGTAGAATTATCTACTGCAAAACCCAAAGGTGACTGTCGTAGGCCAGAGACACATGGCTGTCACAATCTGTTCTCTGCACTGTCTTGCCTGCCTTTGCAGCAAAGGCCAGGGGAAAGGCTTCCTGCTTTCGCTGTGGGAGGGCATTCTGATTTTGAGCTCGCTTGCCTGGATTTTTGAAATACGGGGATATGAGGCGAAAGATAGTGAGTTTGGAAGAAGCCAGCTCATTGAAAGATTTCTTAGCTGCCTGACAACTGCTTTCAGAACACACAGTGGAGCTCAAGTTAAAATTTAAATCACACATGTTCAAAAGAGATTTACTTCTGGAGCAAAACAACCTGTTAGTTTCAGTGGGAAAGAGGCTAGGAGCTGTATATTATCTTCATGTCATAAAAAAGCTCCACTACTGAGTACTCACCTTGAGTATGAGTGTGAGCTGATCACTGACCTTTTTCTCATTTTCATCTGTGTATGTATGTGTAACAGAGAACTGAATGGAGGACCTTTGCCCTGACCTACATATCCAGCCTTTTTAAAAAATAAATTATTACTTAAAATTATGAAACAGGTTTATAGCTAATGTGTGAAGTTGTCCAGGCTGGGCTCAAACCTGCAATCCTCCTGTCCTAGCATGCCAGCGCGCTGGGACACAGGTCTGCATGACTGAGTCAGGCTTCGCCCTTCTCCTGAAGCTCAGCCTCACTGTGAAACAGCCCTGTAGAAAGTGAACTTCTGTGTGAAGTGCTGATGTGAAAAGAGAAGTGGCTGGCCAATCCTACCACCTACACTGTCGTACATGAGAAATGCCCAGCTAAATCTGCATTAGTTGACTGACCATATCCTTTTTGAAAGGGAAAACAAACTAAAGCACCTCTTTTCAGGCATTTCAACCAGAAACCCTCCTTACATTTTCAACTACCACATCCATCACTGGGACAGCGATGTAGCTGTTGTACCCAGGAACAGCAAAAGATAGAAAGGTCTGAGGTTCCAACTCTGCTCTTATCCCTTACCTGCCGGGTCCCTAGGCAAGTGATTCCTCTCTATTCACTGCCAGGCAAGGAAACCACTTCAATATCTACAAGCTTACAGGATAACTAGGAGAAGCAAACTGGGTAATGGACACCAAGGCCTTCGCCCGATGGCACAGCCACTCCAAGACTATGTCTATGGGCTCCTTTTGTCCAGTCAGCCATCAGAGGCTTTCTAACCAGCTTTTTGTAGTAACCTAAACTTCAAATCGATTCTACTTCTCCCGAAATGCCCAGGAACATGGACAAGAGTGACAGGTAATTAGGAAAAAATTCAACATTATACATGTAAACTGGAGATGACACTGAGGAAGAAACCGCTGCTTAATCACGAGCTTTTCTGACCATTACAATGAGTCAGAAACAGACTGAATAGATCTAAATGGAGAAACAGGTAATTACACACTGCAATCTTTATGCCAAGCTACCTAACACTTAGAATTGTAAATGGACTGCCATCTTGATGGCAAAAGAACACTCCCAAAGACTGCAGATGCACACACCACCCTCAGTAGCCCGATCTTCCTTCTGAAATGAAGTGTGCTGCTCAGACAACACAATGGGGCAAGAAGGCTGCCAGGTGGAGTTCTCTGCCTTCTAGGTGAACGCAGCTGCATGGCAGTGGAAGAACGGAACACTCGAGTAATGGGATAGCAGCAAGAGCCAGCTCCCGAACTGGGTCTCTGGCTTACTAGTTAGCTGTGTGATTTCACACTTGCCAACCCCAGGTACACCCTCCTCGCTTATAACAAGGGAGTGATGACCCTGCTCCACACAGCTGACAGGAGCATACAGTGATGTTTTTCTAAGACTCCTTCCCATGAAGAAGAGTGCAGAAAGGTCCAGAGAAGCAGAAACCAGAAGGCTTCAAAGGGAGGCAGATAAGACAAAGATGGGCAGGGCCAGGGCCGACCTTCTCCTGCCCCTCCTACTGGTCTTTGGGGAAGACTCAGTGCTGCTCAAATATCAACAGAGTCGAAAACAAAACACAAAGCCGTGATTTTATGGGCATTTTTCTCTCAACAACTTAAGAGGAATTCTTTGCAAAGAAAGAATGAGCCCAACGTTGCAGTCTTTGGAGTCTAAAATACCTAGTTTTACATAAGGAAGAAATATTAAGGAGCAAATATGCTTATTAGCATTATATATATATATATATATAGATATATATATATACACACACATATATATTATATATGTATAATATATATATGGTAAGAATGAGGCATAATAGTGATATTATAAAATTCTGAATGCACTAAAGTATGAAACACAGTCTTGAGAACTCTAAAGATACTTAAAATGGACACACAGTTTTTTGTTATCCTTCCCCCACCCTTTTTTGCCTCAAGGCAAAACTAGAATTTTGCCGAAGAAATAGGTTAAGAGCTTCAAACAGAGAATAAATATCTTCCCCTTAGCCTTGGCTATAGGAAGGCAAAATTTGTCAAGAAGTGCTCAGGATGTCTACAAGGAGGTCTCTGGGATGCTGGACATCACTGCTACCCGCTGAAATTCATGGGACTTTAAAAATAATGTGCCTGGGCCCCACCCCCAAAGGCTTTAATTAAATTGTGGAGGGGGCAGGGTGAGTGCATACACTGCACTTGTCAACGTTTCCCAGGTGATTCTAACAAAAGCCAGTTAGGTGAATAGGGCAAAGAGGAAGGTTGGAGCAACACCAATGCTGCCAGTATCATCTACTGGAGCTGGTGCAAGGCTCATGGGGGACCAGACATGCAGGCCCGGTTTTACCCCTGCCCAGCTGTGCAGCCCTGGGGATATCCCTATTGTCTCTTGCGCGCATAAAGGCAGCATCTACAGTGTAGATACTCAGCAACTTGCATGTGCTGGGCAGAGCCTGGCCCAGCCTGAGTACAGTGTGCACAGCCCAGGGCTGTTTGACTCCACATCCGCCGTGGGCTACTGTCCCTACAAGTGTGGCAAGAAGAGGGAGAAATGGGTAATTTCAGCAGGGACCCCTGCATCAATGATCTGATCAGCGAGCATCTGGCAATTGGCTCCCAGAGCACCTGGGCGCGGGTCAGATGAATGCGGTGGTTGGGAGGAGCAGACTCACGTTACCTCTGTACCCCACAAAGCAAGCCTTCAATGACCTGCTTCAAGAGAACGGGTCTGCTGGAGGTCTGTGGCTCTGCCGTCATCACAGAAATCTAGAGAACAGGCTGCTACCGTGATCCAGTCTCAACTCTGCCATTACCCTGCTGCACGGAGCTTGGGCCTGAAGTCCGAGGGCTCCACCTGAGCACGGTGTGGACTTCCTGCCAGGAGCTGCTGGGGGGGGCAGGTCTCAGGGGCTCTTCCTTCAGGCCTTTTCTTCTCCTCCACACTTGAGGCCCTGGACTGTACAGTGAGCCTGCAACAGAAGCCAGACACCTGCGTTTAAGTCCTATAGATGCACAGCTTTTGGGGGGGTTTCCTCTAGAAAATAAGAGAATGAGCCGCAGAAGTGTTTCTGAGATACCAGTGTGCCTTCCCTGCAGGTCCAGGCACCTTAAAACCTGTTAAGTTTTTTTATTTTCGGTACCAAGAATCAAACTTGGGACCTTGCACTTTCAAGGCAGGCAGCAGAACCACTGAGCTAAATCCCCTACCTTAAAACCTGTCGTTTTTAAACTCTTCCCAGGTAAATCTGAAGCTTCCCCGTTCCCAGTGCAAGTTGGGGATGTCTGCAGCTGCCTTTCCTCCAAGGATGCATCCTACACAGGGCAGACGGGTGGGTTTGCATATGGGGCGGGGGGGCGGGGAGATGCCGAAGACAACAGTCAGAGAGAACAATGCCCATTGGAAAACCCTGCTTATCCTAACCAACAGCACGGGGCTTGGCTGCAGAAGGCTCCCAACATCAACGGTTGAAAGAAAGCAAGTCAAAGAAATGGCAGCAGCCTGGCTAGTGACAACAATAAAGATGTTCTTTGTTCTTCCTCATGCTTGAATACTGGCTCAGCTCGTCTTAGAAACAGACTGGGAGAGAAAGAAGTGTGTGAGTGTGAGTGTGTGTGTGTTCAATTGTCATTTTTGGATTTTATAAACCTAGTTTAGCATAACAGATCAGGGAGGAGACCCAACAAAGTAATGTTCTTTGTTCTTTTCCAATTGCACTTGAAATACTGTAAGTACTGTATAATAAAACGGGACTCGAACGAAACCTTTTTTCACGGATATGACATGAGGTCCAAGAGAAAAGTAATTTTTGAAAAACACGCATCCATGGTTAAAGATAATATCTTACAATTAAAAAATCAGAATACTCAGTTGGTACTCTAAGCAGAGACTGCCTGTCCTTGGTTTCTCCCGAGATCTCCCGGCCTTCCAGAACCTTGGGCAGGTGTGAGCCCACAATCGTGGGTGGGGCTGAACTTTGCGTTTGTGACTCAGAGAGATGGAGCCCTATCTCCGAGTTCCTCCTCTGCTCTCTATTTGTATGAGTACGCAGCGTTACGGTCATCACCGAGGGTTGGCGGGGGTACATAACACATATTTATTCTTTTTGTGCCCTCCCTTCCTTGGTCCCTTCGCAATTTGCCAGAGCTCTCTCTATTTCCTACCATCTTTTATTTTGTTCTTTATTTACACTGCGTTTCTCCGATGGGAGAAGCCATGTGATCTTTAAGCTTGTGTGTCTGATTTATTCTGCGCAGAATCTCAGCCTCCTACCGAAGGCCTGTGGGGACTTCCAAGGAGATTTCGATTCTAAACTTGAGGCATGATGTTTTCAGGATCCCAACACAACCCAACAGTTTAGCTGCATGGACTCCTATTTGAAACACATAAACAGACTTCGATTTCTTTTAAATGTTACTCTGGGGTAAGTTCTCCCTTAGCCCTGTACCCAACGTTTCCTATTCTCTGCTTTGGGTTTCTCTTTTCGGTTAGGACCTGTTCTCCTTCGCGTTTCCCTGGCCTCAAACCGCCCCACCCGCAGGCGAGGAGATAAGAAAGGGCGGGCGGGGACGGGCCGGAGCGTGACTTCGGCCTGTGGAACAATTCAAAGCCCGGTCTCCTGCCCCTCCTCGCCACACAGCGCTCTCTGGGCAAACCCGCCCGACTCCCGCACCTCCCCAAGGAAAG